TGTTCAAAAGGTGCCTTTCTAAAAAACCCTTTCTTGTTTTAAGAAATTTAATTTCTTGAAACAAGAAACAAACCACCTTTGAAACAAGAATCGCCTTTCTTGTTTTAAGAAATATTTTTTCTTGTTTTTATGGTGGCTTTCTAAAAAACCCTTTCTTGTTTTAAGAAATTTAATTTCTTGAAACAAGAAATATTTTTTCTGGTTTTAATGGTGCCTTTCAAAAAAACCATTTCTTGAAACAAAGGTGAGGTCGCCTTTGGCAAAAATTCAAGAAAGAATTTTCTAGATTTTAAGGAAATTCTTCGATTTTTTTTTATGAGTGTAATTGTGTTTGGGGCCCAGTGACCTTCTAATTGCTGAGTAGCTCGCTCTAATTGAAATGTGCACGCATAATTAATTTCGCCCAGCAAGAAATTTAATTGTGCTGCCGCAGAATCCGCAGAATCAATTTGAATGCCAGTGTCAGAGTCGCTAAAGTTATCATTTCATCGCGGCTGCGGGAATGGCAAGTCGTGGTTTATTATTGTTGGCACAGCGGCTATTCAAGCAGCTCGTTACCAAAGGCAAAAACAATCTCGACGGTCAGCGGACGGCGAAGGAAAATCAGCGAAAAAGGGGGAAAATCAACATTGGATGCAGCTTAAGTCATTTCGACAGCGAGTTGTGTAATCCGTCGCCTCGGCTGCCAAGGAATCTGATCTGATTTGCATGTGTTTGTGTCCCAAATTGCTGGCAGATTAACAGTTGAGGTCCAAATTGTAGTGTCAATAATTCTAAAATTTATTTGTAAATATTTTAAAATGTTTAACTATCCAAAATATTATTATTTATAATACTTTTTAGTTCTATTATTTTTTTACAAAACTGTGTATGTGGTCAGTATGTGCATAAAGCCTTCTTAAATCTTTAAGATCATTGTCAACTGTAAATGCGCTGGAGTTTCATAACCTTTTTTTTCCCTACCTCAATTTAGGTTAAGTCAATTTGAAAGAAGAATATTTTAATATTTATTGTGCAAATTAGTTTGTTTGCTTTCCGTCCTTTTTTGAATGAATTGCTTGAGCTCTTCTGGTTCTTTGCTCTTTTCTGATAAATGCAGTTCACACATCAAAGAATAAAAGAGAGAGGGACGAAAAGTATCTGAAAGATACACGCCTGGCAACCGAGAGTTACGCTCGAAACCAGTTGATTTGCTTTTTGAAATTCTCGCACGTTTGACGACAGCCGCGACTCCTATAAATTCATCATTTTATTTAAAATTTCACATTCGCTGACAATTTCATGGCCTACGAAATGGGGGCCCGATTCTTTTGTTCTTTCACTCTCTCTTCATACACGGCGAAAAATATGTTTTATATGCAAGATCTTAGTTCTGAAGAAGATAGGTTTAAAGTGAAAATCGGTCTGATTATGGATTATTACACTTGGGACCGTTTTTTCGTCCGCCTGTTAAATTTAAAGTAGGGTTAAAACTCTGTTTTCCATACGATTTTAAGGCTTTAACCTTACATTAAATTTAACAAACGGACGAGAAAACGGCCTTTAAAACAAGATCTAATTTGTATAATTATGTCTCTGCATACATAACTTATTTCTTCCCTTCTGGAATATTATTTTTTGCATAGCTCGTTAATGATCCCACTGTCACTGGGCATTGTTTTATGCGCTCGGCTGGCATAAAAATATTTGCACAGTTGCCTTTGCTCTTTATATGACGTGTATGTAATATCAGGCTATCTCTTTCGCCGGCGCTCGCCCCCTCTCTTTCGCGCCAGGAGGAAACCTTGGCAGCACCACTGCCACTTCATTCTGATGCCGCACCGTGTGATAAGTGGGTCAGTAAAACGCGCGCCGGTGAAAAAAATAAAAAAACACAAGAAATAATATAAAAAAAGAAGAAAAAGGCCGAAACTGAAATAATAAAAAAGTGTCACACCTGCTTCTGGGGGCGTGACAGTGGGGTGGGTGCTTTACATAAATGTTATAAATATAATAAAAATGTTATTTACACGCTTTTGAAAAGAGAAAGTCCAGAACGGGGCGCGCACACATACGAGACGTGCATTCATTTACTTTCGCATTTGCTTTTTATTCCGCTGTGTTTCGTTTTTGATTTTATTTCGCCAGTTCACCCCTTTTCTGGGCTTGCTTAATTTCGAGCAATTTATATGTGAGAATTTTTCGGGGGAGATGTTTGTACATGGGCAATAACACAACTTTTATGGCCAATTTATGGAAGGTTTTTTTCGTGTCGGTTTTTCAAACGTGCGTTAAATTTGGCAAGTCGACATGTGGGGTTCCTTTTCGCGGGAAAGTTCGCCGTAGTTGGGTTCGTGGCTAGATAAAGGTGACGAGATATCCCCGGTTTACAGTTAGGTGCCGCAAATCGGTCAAATACTAAACGTCCCATCTGTTTTATGTTCTCACGCCTATTTCTTAAGATCAAGCTGTGAACAAAACTATAAATAAACGGTTCTACAAATAAATTAAATAAAGTATCGAGTTTCAGTTCTGAATAGTAGACTACAAGAACACCCTTCTTATAATTAAAGGATCGGTTTATTTTTATATGAAATTTATTAAAAACAATTTTCTTTCCTTTGCTTGTTTAAAGTTATTTGTAATTGAAAATAATTATATTATTTATTTAAATTTTACCGAGGAAACAATATTTCTGTCTTTCAAGTTATACTCTTAGTTAGAGTGAGGAAATCACCAAGAGTGTGCGAAATTTAAAATAACGTTTCTTTTCAAGCTTTATAAAGTTGTTCCGCGGTCAATGAACTTAAAATGGGTGCGTTTATTTGTACGACTCGCTGTGGAATGCAAACAATATTTATTGAAACGGAAATACATATAAGTTTGCATAAAGAAAATCGGCAAATCTGTGAACTATATTTATTAGAGGATTGTTAAGACAAACAAAAGAGAATTGTGAAAACACTTTCTGACATTTTTTGCAATTTTTTTATTTGCTTACCAAAAAAATAGAAACGTCTTATATCAACTTCTTGCGCTGAAAAGATAAAATATAAATATTTCAGCTATTTGCTATCACAATAATTTTTACTAAATCAAATGGTATACTTTACAAATTTTAAACCTTTTGATAAAATAGAAAAATGTTTAAGAGCTCAAAGGGACTAGGATTAATTCGGAACTTCTTATTTCTCTACATTTTTCTGCAATTCATCAGTTTAAGTTTAAATTCTGGTTCACCCAATAGTTAGCTCGCATCTTGTAATTGAAGCAGACACACCCAGCGTCGTTGACATCGCTTTCGGTTTCATTTTCAATTCCGATTCCCAAGGTCGATCCCGACCTACATCCTGCTACAAATAACTCGATGTCGTCCAACTCCTGCGAATTGTGGATTGCCAAGTGAGGAGTGAGTGCATCGGCATCGCTATCGGTATAAATGAATGGGCAAAAAACTGTTGCACATTTAATGAAGGCGCCCCGCCGCTTCGCACTCCTTGACAGTCGTAATTTATGCTCATCTACAGACCGCACATAAGCGGCACATAAGCTGCGGACACTTGTCCAGGCGATTGACAACATGACATTTTGAATGCGAAACGCCACTAGTCGGCGGACAGGAGTTCCCGGACAAACGGACAGCGGACAGTGGTCAGCCAATGGACAGGAGCAGGGGTAAAATATGACAGCGGGAGCAACAAAAACCTAGCGTCGATTAAAAAACAAGCGCTACGTGAGCTGCATGCCAATCGGCATATCAAGATTTGCAATGTGCCGGGCCACAGAGCTCACTCAGTTTGGTGATTTTTTTCCAGACCTTAGAAGCGTGTTTGAGCCGCCGGCACGCGTTCCATCACCATATGCCGACCCAATTGAAGTGGCTCAAGTGTTGTGCAGATAGTTCACTGAAAATTAGAATACATACCAGTTAATTTAACAAAAATGAAATGTAAACTATAAAAAAGTTTTTATTTACACTTTAATGATCTTAATTAATTAAAATATATTAGAAAAAATTAAAGCTATTATTACGTTTCCTAAATTTTTTTAATAAAACATCTTTATTATTTTTTTTAACTATACATCTTACTTTTACTTAGTTACATTTTCCACAGATTTAATAAAAATTAAAAAATTTTATTTGTAATGAAAAAGGTTCTTTAACTCAGTTTTTCTGTGGAGCTGCACATCTAGCATTTGGCATTTCAACGGGAAAAGTGTTCAACCGTTTTGGCCCAGAGCTCCGATCAATTCATTGTGCTAGGAAAATGAAGTTGTCGATTCGGTGGGGCAAACTGCTGAGGACTATCCGTGGTGCGATGACGCGGACAGTCTGTCATTTAGCCACTGCCAGTTAGCTTACAACCGAAATCACTTAAGTTCTCATTGCCTGTTGGGCATAAATTCTGGCCAAAATATGAGTGGATGCCAGAGCTTATTCCTGTTGTTGTTCTTATGGCCTGTTCAGCATGCAAATCTCGTTTCCAAAGAAGTGGGGCAAAAACTAAGTTACAAATGTAGTCATTTCACATACTCTTTTTAGGGTATATCAGATTGTGCTATGTAGCAAAAAAACAAGTTACTAAAATGCCTATATTGAAATGTTAAATATAGTTTTCTAAAATAAAAAAAAAGCTTAAAATGTTTTTGGAGTACAACCATTGATTTCAACTAACTCTTTTGAATTTTAACTTGAAAAGGGCATTTCAAATTCTCGCTTTTTTCGTGGAAATTTCCCTTCTTGGCATTTATTCAAATTAGCCTTTAAAACAAGCAAAGCAGAGCATTAAGTTCACACAGACACGCCGTTACATACAATTGTATTTTATATATTTAACTGTTAAGGTTTCACTGGCCGTCCGATTTGCAAATGCGGCCTAATTGAAATGCAGCGGACGTCGACGAAAAGGGGAACAGAACGCCAAAGATGCTTAAGTTATTATTGATATTATAAAGAACATCGTCATGGCGAATTGGTCAGTGAATAAGTTGCTTGTTTCATCGCCGTCTCGGATGTTAAAGTTGTTCGCTCGTTAATACTAAGGAAGTGCAGGCGTCTTTTGACTTAAATTTAAAATGCCTAATTAAGTGAGCATTTAACGTCAGTGGGTTTCATCAAATATTTAAGTAAATGGTCATCCTTCTTATCGAATTTGTTTCAGGAGGATCTCTTGCGTCTGCTCATTTTGGGTGCGACCTCTAAAGCATTCCTTTGGCAGGAACCTGAAAAGATATTTTTATTAATAAATTTTGGTTTGATGAGAAGTTAAGTTTATATATAAACCTATGGATAACAGGCGATATCAGTTCTGAACGGAGAGTCTTAATATCAGTTGGTTTCGTCACGAGAGAGACCAATGCCCCCACAACTACAGCGGTGACTACTCCAATGGGATTTATCCAGTCGTAGGATAGGCGGTACAATGGAAACACTTGATCCTGATCCACCCAGTGTTCTTGTGGGCCAGTCACATTTCCCAAACATCCCTCCACGGAAACGGAAAGCATTTGTGATTTGAGTTGTCCCAATGCTGCGGCGATCTGCGTTCCAAAGGTTATCCATCCTGCCAGCAGGATGCTCGATATCCCTCCCGCCGCTACGCCAATTGTATTCGACCAAGGAACCAGCATTCCCAGGGTAAATAAGCCGAAAGCAGTGCCACTTGTGATGGACGATAGCGAATGGCAAACACTTAAAATGCCTCGCAAGTACTGCAGCAGAAATACAAGGAGGAACGTCAAAGCTCCCTGGAAGATAATGCTGGACTTGATCAGAATGGTGGCTACCCTTTCACTGGGCTGCAATTTAAAAAATCCACGAACAACATCCTCCAGGAATACCAGGGAAATCGTATTAAAACACGACGAAAGTGAACTTAGGCCAGCTCCGAATATTCCGGCTATAAATAAGCCAGGCATTCCATAAATGTGACCCACGCTTTGGACCACAAACAACGGCATGAGTTGATCGTCATTCTGAAAATAAGTTCTGTTAAATACGGCATATTCCGATCCTATTTACAAACCGTAATCAGTCCAGCACTCAGGGGATCGCAGTCTTTGTACTTCGAAAAAACTAGCATTCCCATGAAACAGCACAGAGCGACAAAGCTAGAAACTCCAATGGTGAATAGCCAGGAGGCTTTTTGGGATTTCTTCAGCGAAGGTAGAGACATATATCGCTGTATCATATGTTGACTACCGGCATTAATAGAGGTAAAGAATGAAAAACCACTGATAATGGCGCTCCAAACGGTATGGCGAATATAAGGTGACGGATTCGTGTTGTTCAATATTAAACGTCCACCCTGCTCCACGTCTTCGAAAAGCGCTCCCAAGCCATTGGAATAGTACACGGCGAAAAGAGCTACAGCCACCATGGAAAAATACATAACCACCACTTGCCAGACATCCGTGTGAACCACAGCCTTAAGACCACCCTGCCGATGGATTATAATATTAAAATGGATCAGAAATGAAACATCAATCTTACCATGAAGGTATAAATCACGCAGGCCAATATAACTACAATTTCAATCAGGTGAATGTTAAGGCCAGAAACTAAATGTTTAAAGAAATTGTAATAAGTTGTATAAAAATCATAAAGTCAGCTTACCCTGATTCAATGATAATGCCGGAACAAATACAAGGAATGGCAAGTATGTTAACTACAATTGGTTGCTAATTAATACTTTGGTGAAAATGCACAAACGTTCAACGTACCATATTGAAAATCCACAGGAAGGAAGATATGCTCCTGACACTCGAGTTAAATCGCATCTCCAAATACTATAATGGAAAAGAAAACAATAAGAAATACGCAGATAAATATCGGACGTCCTACCTCGTAAACTGATCCAACTTGAAGAGCCGAGTATACGGGTAAATAGACGTAGGAGACCACGATCCCTTGGAGAAAAATTCCTATTATAACAAGAAAATACTGCGTGCCATAATGGTAAATCTCTGACGGCGTGCCTATAATGGTAACGCCCGATACGAAGCTTAAGAAAAAGAGTTAATATTATTAAATATATCGTGATCTAAATATTGTTTACCTTACCTTCCTATGAGACTAATGGCTACAGGAACCACTTTCATATTACGAGATCCCATGAGATATTCGTCTATCTTTTCAGATCCTAAATCTTTCCTTCGACGGTTACCAACTGTGGTTGGCTGAGAAATATTCACCTCATCCAGTTTTTTTTGGGTTTTTCTAAAAATGATTAAAACTAATAGTAACAGTATAGTAGATACAGAAATGTACTTACCTGACGCTACCGAAATATAGGCCTATTCCCGTGGATAATACCGTTATGCCCAAAAGCACAATGTAGTCCACTGTGCCAAATCTGTAGTTGTCCATAATTTGCTTGCTTAAATGTAATGATTTAATTTTATAATTGTTAAGCTTAAAGAAAACAATAAAGAGTAACAATATATATTGCAGTTAAAAATCACCGTCCGACTTCTCTTACGAGGAAAGCTATACTAGTTCGGTGTTTAAATTTGGTTAACGGACAAGCTTGAATAAAAGTGATAGCTAAATGGATCGAAATGTCGCCTACTTTTCTAGAACCGAAAAACAAATGGAAATAAACTAGCAAATATGCAAATTTGAATACGTTTTGAAGCAAAACAAGTTTAAGACCACACGCTTAATGAATAATTAAATCAACGGGAAATAAGGTATTTAATATTGATTCTTAAGATATTACAACATTTTCAGTAAGAAATAAAATAGCAAAAGTTTAAAAAGTAATTTGTTGATAATGTTTTTATGTTTACAGAGACTGTTTTTTTTATTGTTAATACATTAAATTACATCATACAAAATATTTGAACATAACAAATGGAAAATTAAATCACGAGAAGTTATTATTCGACACTACTATGTTTCCAGAATTTTCCTAACAATTTGGTTCCAGGAGAATCTCTTGAGTCTTCTAATTTTGGGTGCGACCTCTAAAGCATTCTTTTGGTAGAAATCTGAAATGTAAATTTTTATAAAATACATTTACGTTCGATAAGTATGAGAAATCAGGTTTAAATAAGTACCTATGGATCACCGGCGATATCAGATTCGAGCGGAGAGACTTGATATCAGTGGGTTTCGTTACGAGAGAGACCAATGCACCTACGATTACAGCGGTGACTACTCCAATTGGATTGATCCAGTGGAAGGATAGACGGAACAGTGGAAACACTTGCTCTTGGTCCACCCAGTGTTCTTGTGGACTAGTCACATTTCCCAAGCATCCCTCCACGGACACAGGAAGCATTTGAGATTTAAGTTTTCCGGATGCTGCGGCGATCTGTGATCCAAAGGTAATCCATCCTGCCAGCAGGATGCTCGATATCCCTCCCACCGCTGCGCCAATGGTATTCGACCAAGGAACCAGCATTCCCAGGGTAAATAAGCCCAAAGCAGTGCCACTTGTAATGGACGCTATCGACATACAAACACCTAAAATGCCTCGCAAGTACTTTAGTAGAAATACAAGGAGAAATGCCAAAACTCCCTGGAAGATAATACTGGTTTTAATCAGAATGGTGGATACCCTCGCACTGGGCTGCATTTTGAATAATCCACGAACTATATCCTCCAGGAATACCAGGGAAATCGTATTGAAACACGACGAAAGTGAACTTAGGCCAGCTCCGAATATTCCGGCTATAAATAAACCAGGCATTCCATAAATGTGACCCACACTTTGGACCACAAACAGCGGCAGTAGTTGATCGTCATTCTAAATGAATATTCTGTTAAGTATGGCATATTAAAGCCTCATTTACTTACCGTAATCAGTCCAGCACTCAGGGGATCACAGTCCTTGTACTTCGAAAAAATTATCAATCCCATGAAACAACTTAGAAAGACAAAAATAGCCACTCCAATGGTGAAAAGGCACGAGGCTTTTTGGGATTTCTTCAGGGAAGGTAGTGACATGTATCGCTGTACCATATGTTGACCACTGGCGTTAATAGAGGTAAAGTATGAGAATCCACCGATTAGAGCGCTCCAAACGGTATGACGGACATATGGAGACGGATTCGTGTTGTCCAATATTAATCGTCCACCCTGTTCCACATCTTCGAAAAGAGCTACCAGGCCGTTGGAATAGTATATGGCCAAAACAGCTACAGCCACGATGGAAAGAAACATAACTACCACTTGCCAGACATCCGTGTGAACCACAGCCTTAAGACCCCCCTGCCGAAAGATCAAAATGTTAAAGAGTATTCCAAATAAAAGATAAAACTTACCATGAAGGTATAAATTACGCAAGTTATAATAACAACCAATTCAATCAGGTAAATGTTAAGGCCAGAAACTGAATGTTAGAAATAAAGGAATAAATCGAGATATCGTTAGCTGCAAAAAGTCAGCTTACCCTGATTTAAACATAACGCCGGAACAAATACAACGAATGGCAAATATGTTACCTGCAATTTTAGCTCATTAATGATTTTGTAAGATATTCAGCAAAGTTTAACTTACAACACCAAAAATGTACAGGAAAGAAGCTATGCTCCTAACACTCGAGCTAAATCGCATCTCCAAGTACTATAATAAAAAAAAATCATAATGTGATACGCAGGAAAGTAAAGGATGTCCAACCTCGTAAGCTGAGCCAACTTGGAGAGCAGAATACACGGGTAAATAAACGTAGGAGATGACAATTCCTTGAAGAAAAATTCCTATGATAATGAAAAAATACTGCGTACCATAATGGTAAATCTCTGACGGCATGCCTATAATGGTAACTCCCGATACGAAACTTAGGAAAAATAGGGCAATATTATTTTAATACTTGGCGATTTCATTTATGTTATCTCACCTGCCTATAAGACTAATGGCTACAGGAACAACTTTCATATTACGGGACCCCATAAGATACTCGTCTATCTTCTCAGACCCCACATTTTTCGTTCGACGGTTGTCTAAAGGGATTGCTGGCTGGGACACTTTCACTTCTTCTAGATTTTTTTGATATTTCCTAAAAATTATAAAAGAGTAATATGCTAGTTGATAGAGAAACGTACTTACCTGACGCTACCGAAATATAGGCCTGTTCCCGTGGATAATACCGTCATGCCCATTAGCACAATGTAGTCCACTGTGCCAAATCTGTAGTTGTCCATAATTTGGCTTTTTGTTAAGAATAAACATCCGAAAACAATCGTTATAATCTCATTATTTGTTCTGAATCAATTGGGTGTTACCTGGAGACTAAAATAATAAATAACACGGTCCTACTTCTCTTACTAGGGAAGTAATACTAATTTGGTGTTTTAATTTAGTTAACACTCAACCCTCAAGAAAAGAGAATAGCCAGGTATCTACCATAAAACCAAAAAAGCCATCAAATTTCTGGCAAAGTTGACTATAGAATTATAGAATTATAGAATTGACTATAGAATTATAATAAATCAACAAGGAAAGCAAGCGAAACTCACTTATATGTTTTTTATGTAATTGATAGGTAAATTACATAAAATCTTAATTTACTCTAGGACTCAAATAATAGTTTCCGGACCGAAAATATTTTATTTATCTATGTTATTATAAATAATATTTATTTATTAAATATATCACATGTGAGCTGATCGCCTAATCTTTATTTTGACACTGAATTCGAGTTCCAGAATGAGAGGAAAGCAAAGTGGAATGAGAAGATTTTTCGTTGCCTTCTCAATGCTTATGCAAATGCACCGTTGCACAGTGGTCCTAAGAACGCAACAAAAATGCATTGAAACAAATAAAAATGTTTAGTAAATCAAATAAAATAAATTAAAAAAATAATTTTTTTTCTATAAAACAAATAAAATAAATTATTAATGATTTTTATATTTATTATATTTTTTACCCACTTCATTCAACACAAGTATGTGAATTTCTTAAATAAATCATATTTTCGTTTTTAATAATTTTTATAGTAATTGCTTAATGTATTTAAAAATACAGATTTTTTTATATTATTAATTATTAATTTATTTCCAATTTTACATTTAATTCCGACTTTTTTGGTTGTTTGGCCCAGTGTACATATGTCGCTAAATCTTAGCAAATACATAAGTAATGACAGGTACAGTTATCTCTTTACGTGGGGTCCCAAAATACAGATATGCTCAAGAAACTAGCTACTCTAATTAGGAAATTAACATAAAATAATTTTAATTGTTTACAAAATTGTATTTACTAAAAAATAAAATAAAAAATATTTTTGATCGATTTGGTTAGCTTACAAATTACGCCTTAGAGGGATTCCAAAGTGTGTTTCTGTGTATATGGCATCTGCTTGCCAATTGGCAGCTTTCTGGTTCCCGTTGCCCCATCCCAAACGCGAACCCGACCTATGGCACTAATTACGTGCTGCTGTTTGGTTGCCAGCTTAGACAAAGTGACGCCGACGACAAAGTCGCCCGTCGACCATCGTGCCCAGTCTCCAGTCTCTAGTCCATCCTGCATTGTCCTGTAGCCTGGTGTCGCCTTCGATGCTCGCTAATCCATTACCAGCGTCATTAATCTAATGAGCTGTTGCTGCTTGGCGCTGCTCGATGTTGTTAGTTGCTGCTCGGCGATTGCCAATTGTTGTTGCCACTGGCGGCATGTGTCGAGTTGCCTGTGCCTCTGCCACTGCCTCTGCACTTGGCCCGGCCATCGATTTGTGCGCTCCAGTTTACTTACACATGTCAACATCATGGCCGCCGTCCATCACCTGATCCCCCAATGTGTTAATACATGGATATGCGATTGTGGCTGGCCCCTCACCCTTCACCTCTCACCCCCCAAGCCATATCCCTCATCTGTCCTACAATATCCCCTCCATCCATATATCCCTGTCTTTCGCAGCACTGTTGCTCGTTTGTTTGCTCGTGGCAATTAACTTGTGCTAAACTGTTATCAGCTTGTCATTGGATTGCGGATTCCGAATACGACGCATTGAGCTTCGAGCATTACCTTTCACTAGCTTCTGGTTCCCCTTCATCATTTCGAGAAGCTGGATAATTCGTAACAATATCTCTATATTGTATCGCTAGAAATCAAATTAAGTTTTTTGTGTTGACCAAAGAGTTTGCAATCAATACTTAAATTTGTTATATCGGTATAGTTTGCTGAATTAAGGTCAACATTTCCTAATATCATTAATTAAATATTGATAGTGTTCTTTGTTATTCTTACCTTTCATTTAAATTTGAATAAAAACCGTATTTATCATTTTCTAAAATCCAATAACGAATTAATTACAAAAGTCTTTGTGAATATTTTTCCTAAAAATGCATAGAGTTTGGCGCTTCTGTGTGGAAAATAAATTGCATTTCCTGCTTCGACAAACATGCTAATGTTGATTACGCAAATTCCTTGCACACATGCAGCTGCTAAATTCAACACTTACCGCCCTTCCTGCGAAAAGTTTCTCTGCCTCGGCAAAATATTTTGTCGCCGAAAGCATTTCTTTAATTTAGTTGTGATTCTGAATTTCTCTTGTTTGTATTTACACGTATATTTATGTGTTCTTTGGCAGTTGGTGGCTTTTCCCCATTCTTATGCGTTTTATACTTTGGTTTTAGGTGCTGGCTGGCGTCTGGGTTTGACTATTTCCCTTGCTGCCAAAAGTTTTCGGGCAGAAGAAACTTATTCTCGGGCAGCAAAGCAAAGGCGCAAATTGCAGTTGCAATTTTTGGTGTTTTGTTGCAGCAAATATAAATATATAGTCCAACATCAATGGCTCAAGCAGGCATTTAGCGAAGGAACACTGTTGGCAAATCGAGTTTATGTAACTCTTCTTGATATCTGTTGATAATTGAGAAATTAAAATTCAGGAATATTTTTCTATTTATCAAAAAATTGTATTTATTTATTTTCATTTATGAAAGCCATTATGAAAGTATTTTCAATTACAAATTTTTTTAAATATTCTATTTATACTAAGATAGTTTGGCTTACAGATATTCCATAAACTGTATTAAATGCTTCCATCATTGAATTTTTAAATTTGATAATAGCAATAAATTTAATACTTTAAATGATTACATAATATTGTATGTACACATAACGAGATTCAATTTTTTTGCGCTTCTGGTGTTGCTGCCAAGCATTTCCGCAATGGTCCAACACAAAATTGGAGCATTTCCGGTGTGCTTACAAAAGACAAAACAATTACAACAACAAAAGTATAAATAAAATAAGGCAAAACAGCAGTCCCAAAAACGAAGACGAGAACAATGAAATGTTCTCAGCTATATATATTTCTTGGCCAACTTTGTTGCAGCTGCATTTCGCGTAAAGTTTTCAGAACTCAAGTCTCGATTTCTTTGATGAAGCAAAAACAAGGCAAAAACCACAGCCACCACAGCATCAGAGTTGAATCCGTGTTCAGTTTTCCAGCACCACCAGAGCAACCCCAAACCAGCCGAAAGTATTCCCATTTTCCTCCATCCCAGATGAAAACAAAAAACAATTACAGCAACTAATAAAGAAACATTTAAAAAGCAAAAGTTTATGCCAGGGCCAGTACTGAGCTAAGATCCCTTCCCTAAGAACTCGGACCCTGGTCCGTCAGCAGTTTTCCTTAGCGGTACATGAATAAGCAATTAAAAAGTTGTTATTAAAATTATTATGTGAAATCGTAATGAGAGTATAGTGTACTGGACGAACAAGTGCCGCCCTGCAGGGCAGTGTTGAATTTCCTGTCGTTGCTTGCCCTTTTCCATCGGTTTTTATTCCTTGGCCTCGGTGCAGATGGGAAAAGGAAGTGATTTTGACACTATTAAATATAATTAAATATTGGAATATATTAAGGTATTCTTTGATAGAGTTGAAATTATTCTGGAATCATAAATATGAAATACTATATTCTTTTATATTATATCGTGGCTCGTAATGGGTATCCTTTAGCCACTTTTCCCTGTTTTTCTACGAATTCGAGTTACATACTCGATGTTTTAAAGAATATCGCCAGGGGGGACTAATTGAGAGAACTCTGGCTAATTGCTCGTAATTGTTGGCGGGTGAAACTTTTGCCTTACAGTTCACTGTACCGACGTTTTCACCATTGATACGGTCAAAAGCATGTCAATGCCAGGACAGGTCGCCACTATCCAACACGCTGTTTGCTGACCACTGTGGTTGGGGTCAACACAACCTTGTGCCACTTTGCTCCTGACAAAAAAAAACCAAAGATCTAGCTACTAGGATGCCACAGCCACCGACAAACTGACTTTCCTGTCCCGTTGCATACCAGATGCAGATGCAGCTGACGATGAGATGCCCAGTTGCGGGTTTCTGGCATTTTGTTTATTTTAATTAGTGGAAAAAATATGGCACAGGGCACGCAATGGAGTGCTCCACTTGGCCAACTCGCTTCAATGCGTCCCACACAGCCGCAGGTCGACGCAACAATGCAGCTTTGTCGAGCGGCAGCACAGGAAAAGTGCACTGAGAGAAAGGCTAGTTAGGATCCAGCCAATTATTTGGAAAAATCTGTACTCCATTCCTCATGGCCTTTGCTAGCACAATTAGTTATATTTTACAATTTATAATACTACATTTAATTAAATAAGATATGGGCCGTTCTTTTACAAACCGAACAGATTTGGCAAAAAAAAAAATTTCACATTTTTGATTTGCCTGAAACTTTTTTTACACGTACTATTCGGAAAATAAGTAAACACGTGTATCAGGATTTGACCGAAAAAAATTATTTTCCTAGTTAGAATTTATTTAAGTGTGCCAAAAATTGTCAAATTTGAAAAAGTACCCTCTCATTGAAAATCTGTATCTCCGGTTATATGAATCCAATTGACTTCATGTCTTTTGCATTAATTCCTCTAAAACCTCTCCTTTCAAAATAAAATTTCTTTAAAAAAAATTTTTTAATTTCTTAAAAATAAAAACAAAATAAGATTTTAAAAAAAATTTTAACTATTGCCCCCACAAAAAAAAAAAAAATTTTTTTATTTTAATACTTGCGTCATATTGTTAGTTACAATCGGTTTTTGTAAAAAGTTGGAGCCACTTTTAGTTTTTAAAATATCGAATTTGTTTTAGCAAGGCCTCGGCTTTTTTCTATGAAAAAACGTCGCAGCAAGTAGATCTACTCTCTCACTCTTATCGGATCCTAATGGAATTTATGTTTTCTCATTGTTTACTAGTCCTTTAACAATTGTTAATGATTAAAAGTTAAGTTTTAAGTTTTTTGACAATTTCTGAATGACAAAAAGTAAAAAGGCATTTTTTAATCAATTAAAAACTTACAACTATTTATTTAACCGTCTATTTAATAAACAATAATTTTAAATTTATTTTATTTATTATT